TCCGAGCGAACACTGAAGCCCGGGCAGGGAGGGGGCGGGGGCCGGGCCACCAAACGGGGCGGAGCCTAAATCTCGACTCCGCCCACTTATGGTCAGCCTGACAAACTAGGTGGGATAATCTCTATGATACTCTGACCCATGATCCCCTCTTCCAGCGCTCAATGATATCCATTCTCTCGCGCCCGAATCTATTTATGACCGCGTACCCGTAGCTGAGGCTGGCCCGTCTCGAGGGATTACGGGCTCCCTCTCTCACGCCCAAGAGAGCGACGCCCAGTGACACTCCGCCTGAGGTAGACTCGACCTCCGACGAGGCTCTGTCACTCTCACGGGCCACGTTTCGGAGCGACGAGGAGCGAGAGATCATCATTCAAGATTAAGCTGTCCTCCGCCTTCTCCCTTTTTCCTTCCTTCCTTCCCGAGAATGCACTTCCCAGACGTCGCGAATTCTTGAATCGGACCGGGCGGGAGGGTGCCGGGTCTCCGCCTTCTAAAGGTAATAATAGTAATACTTTTAATATTATTATCACTATTTTTACTCTAGACACACACTAGACATCACGCCTTATGTGGTCTTCTTTCTAAATGCAGCATGGCAGTATCACCAGCTCAAAATATATTGCAGGTAATTTTCTCGTATCAATAACTACAAAAACATAACAGACAGTAACATTCCTGACTTCCATGAGCTGCACACAAAAGTCGTGTCAAAACTGAATCAACTACACAGGCACAAAATAATAATGTTAATATTGATGGCCATAACAATGGCCGCAGTAACGACAGTAATAAAAAGGATTTCTGATATCGTAATAATATATTATTATGATAATTATCTTATATATATTTTCACTTTCAGATTACTGTCATTATCATTATTACCATTACCATTATAACATTCGTTATTGTTATTGTTGTTATAATTAATATTATGATCATCATCATGACGTTGTTATTTTCGGTATCGCCATCACTGTTATTATTATCATGATTACTATCATCATAATAATGATTTTTTCATCATTATTGTTATCATTATCATTATCAATATTGTTATCATGACTATTATTATCATTATCGTTATAATTTTCATCATTATCATTATCTCAATCCTCATGACTAATATTATTATTATCATTATCACAATTATCATCATCATCATAATCGTTTCCATAATTATCATTATCCTAGTTATCTTCTTAAATATAATAATGGTGGTGGTGGTGGTGGGGGCGGCGGTGGTGATTACGACGATGATGATGATGATGGTAATAGTAGTAGCAGGAGTATTACTACAAGTAATGAAAACATTATGATGATAATGGTAGTAATAAACTTATATTGACAAAATACAATCCTCCTCCTCACAATAATAATGACAATAGTGATAATGATATTAATAATGATGGTTATGATACTGATGATAACAATAACAATAATATCAATGATGAGAATCATAATTATAATAATAATAATAACAGAAATAGCAATGATAACAACAATAACAATAGTAATTAATAACTTTAGTAATAATACCAATATTAAATAATAAAAATAGTAATAATAATAACAATAATAATAATATAGTAGTAGTAATAATAATAATAAAATAATAATTACAATAATAAAAAAAATCATGATGATGATAAAATGATAATAATATAATAATAATAAAATAAAAATGATGGTAATAAACCGAGTTCATTTCGACAACTGAAGAATGGGCATGAACGAGAAGAATATGTTCACAGCGCAAGAGATGTATTTGACCGGTTTTGATTATATCTTCGTCAGAAATACACGACGAAGATATGATCGGAACCGGTCAAATGCATCTCTTGCACTGTGATGATATTCATTCCCATTCTAATCTTTTCTACAATAATAAGGAGAATGATGATAACACAAACAACAACAATAATAATAATAAATAAATAATAATAATAATAATAATAATGATAAAAATAACAAACATTAATAATAATAAAGACGCTATTGCTATTACATGTAACAACAGCAACAGCAACAACAAAAATAAAAATAATATTAATGGTAATGATGATGATGATAAGAAATATCAATCATCATCAAATCATAATAATAATAATAGTAATAATAAAAACGCCATAATAATAATAATGATGATGATGTAAATGATGATGATGATAATAATGATGGTGATGATGATGATAGTAGAGTAAAACAAAAAAGTAATAACACTACCGGCGTTACTGCTACAAATGGTAAAAATGGGAATAACGCTAATAACGGTATTAAGGATATAATCGTATAAACAATGTCAAGAATGGTAATCAATTGCAAACATCAATTGCAGATAATTTTCAGTCAGTTCAGAGATTTCTTGGTTTTACACGTTAACAAATTTGGTTTTAAAATGGCTAGATCTATAAGTTTTTTTTAGAACTTAGTGGAGATAATAAAATAATTACCCGGTATTTATTTCATCCACGTGAATTTCGCCTTCAATAGATAAAGCTATTTCAAATCATTTGGTAATAAATTCATGCATTTCAAAATATGTACCTTCATAACTAGTAATGACATCAGTTATGTCTCTATAATCAGAAAAAAGTCTATCAGTGACTTTTATGTGATAATTCTTACTACTAATAGCATATGACATTAACAATACTAATGAAAATAAAATATTAAGACAATTGATATCAATTATATTACTTACTGTAACAATTATAATCATTATCGTAATCATAACAATGACGACAATTATAATCTATCGATAAATAATGGTTATGGTAATGCCGATAACGATTACAATAATGCAAGCACGATTATAGTATCATCAACATTACAATCACTATACTTATTATAACAATTGCTGGCACCTATCACTGATCCACCAGACTTAGGCCCACAAACATAAAGACAGCACCAATTTTCCGGCAACTGACTTCTCAACACCTCGATTAATCCGGCAAAGAACCGCTAGCGGACACATGAATTTCTCGTGATTGCCACCTTTCCACTGCAGCTCCGTCGACTAAGAGATACGAAAGGTGAATAACTAAGAATCAGACTTTTATCAAAGCAATATCATCTGACCTCTCTTATCCGGCAAAACGGCTAATTCGGCACATGTCGTTGGTTTTTGGACCTGAAGTCTGTATAATTTATATCTTTGCCTTATTTTTTACTTCTATTACACTCTATATTTTGTATATCCTTATGATTCATCTTAATATTTCGCATTTACTTTGGTAAACAGCAAATGAATTTATGATTATCATTATTGTGGCTACCTTGTTATTATAATTACCACTAGTATTATCATTACTTTTATCATAATAATCATTATCATTATTTTGTTATCATTATTGTAATTTTTTATTATCGTTATCATCTTTACCATTACTATATTTGTTGTTTATCACTGTGATCCTTAAAACTCTCATTCTTGTTATATTATAATTCCAACACTGTAACAGTTAACTTTATAAGCTATCATGATTGCTTTCCTTATCATTTATATGATTATCACAATAACTACTACCATAACTGCCTTCACTATCGCCATCAGCAGCCACCACTATCATCAATATTTATTACAATAATATTTTCCCCCCGAAGTCCATCGCCGAAGTTGCTTCTTACCCCGATATGCCGTCGCGGGCGGAATTATTATGTTACGGTTTGTTTTAAGAGGTCCTTTAAGCGGGCCGCCACTAAAAGGTCGGAATATATTGCAGTCGGAGTGGCTGCTTTCGGGGAATGGCCTTTCAATTGAACACAAGATCAGTAAGAGGTTGGGAAGGGGGAGGGGATCGGGTGGGGTGTGGAGGTAAGGCGGGAAGGGGGAAGAGAGAACGTGAAATATGTAAAATATATGTTTCTTTACTTCTGCTTTTTTTCTCCTGTTTCTTTCCTCTTTTGAAAACGCTGGGGTAATTTTACTCTTAGAACTTTACTCTAGTATGCTGATGGATCATGAATTCATCAGCGTGTTCCCGTTTTCCATGAGCTTAATCTTTTCTTTACAGTTTCGTTTGATAACATAATTCGATCACGCAGCTTAAGCACAGTGCACTACGTAATGATAGCACTGGTACCAACGGATACATTGATTAGTAAGCACGTGACCTTGCGAGCTGCAGTGGTGCTCGCCAGAGGCACTCAACCGGGATTTTTTCCCTCCGTTGCACTCTGCCGAAAGGGGCGATTGAACTGTCATTCTGGACGCAGAGAAAAAGTCCTTGAGGGGTTTCTGAGTGCAGGTCGACATAGCTCTGTGAGATGTTAACCCAGGCGATGTGGAATACCTGTGGAGGTTTCTAAAAGTTATTCCTGACAGGAGTGCATTTACCCTCGACTAGAGCATTTGACAGCGGCCCCACTGCAATTCCTGATAAGATTCACAAATGCAGTCACAAGGGTCAATTTCATGCAAAGAGAAAGGTCGTCCACGAAGAGTCGGGTTAACAGGGACGTCACCAGGTTTTACGATCTAAGTTCTGCCTTTTTATTGCCTTCTGGATCTGGCATTGGGTGTTGTATTTCTGACAAGTCACTGCTTGATCATGCTTATGCTGGGCATGCACATCCACCGAAATCATAATTCCCTTTCTTCATTCTTTCCCTCGCTCTCCGAGGCTGAAGGTCGATGCAAATGCCCTCTTAGTTCGTAACACATTCTTCAAAATATAGACTTAAGGACTCGATATAGAAATATTCTATGGGGTTAATATCGACTTAAGGACTCGATACAGAAATATTCTATGGGTTTAACAAACATACCCGACCCACTGTTTATATGAGAACGGCACTCCATCAAAGAAAGAAAACAAATAAATAAATAAATAAATAAAAATAAATACAAAAAATAAATAAATAATAATAGAAACCCACACCCTCCTTCATTAGCTAAAAGAGACGCCGCCATTTTATCACCAGTTTCTCAAACCTAATTGGCATTATAGTTTGTTCAGAATTCCCCGGTTTATAAGGCAACTGATGAAAAAACAGCT